ATAACAGACCAAATCTCACTGACCACTACTACTGGTTTTCTATGGATAGTTTTTGGCCACTGGCTGAGATCGTGATGTTGAAGAGGGAAAGAAAGAAAGAAAAATAAAAGCTAGGAATTGATTGCTTCTCTACGAATTTATGACTCAATCAATCCTTTTGGCCAATTGCAATTGGCCAACTACTCGGTATGGTACAACCCAAAAAACCCAAAAAACCCAAAAACCAAAAAAAACCCGAACAATTGTTTACAAATTGGCCTCAGAGCAAATTAGTGCAACCTTTTTTTTGGTATGTGCTTTGATTTAGTTTCATGTTTTTGGTTTTTTTGGGTTTCGAGGCTATAATTTGCTTAAATTTTCTGCACATTTTCTTCGTGATTTCTGGGCTGGAAGTTTGGGTGGGGTGGGGTCATTATTTCGTTGCAGGAATCGAACATGTGTCAATCACTTTGAAGGCTTGCGTGACCAATGTTTTCAACACCTTTGAAAGTTTTTTTGGTTTTTGGTTTTTAGGGGTTTTTATGTATTTTTAAGTTACCTGTTTTATGGCTTCTACCTGATGTGTTAATCCCAAAACAAGAATTAGAAAATGTATTTAAACATTATTAGAAGTATGAAAAATTATTCATACATGAAAGCCAAACTTGTTTTGACAGCTGCTGCAGTTTAGAAATAATCAAGAAATAATCAAGAAATAACCTTGGATTTGGCCTTAATGTGCTTAAATTATGATTAGCTTAAAAGTTGAGTCTTGCAATTAATTGCTATTTTGAGGAATTTTTATGATGTTTCTTAAGAAAAATATCATTTAAGAGCTTAAAAGCTCTAAGAACAACCCTAAAAATCCAGCTTATTGTTATTTTTCTTAAGTTTCAGTCTAATTTCTACCCCCTTTTTATAACTTTAATGACTTTTTCCTACAAAAAACATAATTTCTTAATCTCTACAATTACTTGAGATAATTTACCATATCAGTTAGCCGATTTTCTTCACACGCCTACCCTAATTAACCAGTAAATCTTTCCCATAAACCATATATACTCATATCATGAGCGTGAGACTGTTACTCCATTAGGGCGTTCCAATTAGGTTTAAACCGGAACCAGAAGATCTCCTCCAGATCCTCAACGGGAGGTCTTCCAAGCCAGCACAGAGACTGTCTAAAGTGGGTGGACCCCTGTAGTCTTGGCCCCTAAGCAGTTTTCTCATTAAGTGAAATCAATACCAGCATTTGGGGAATCTTTTTCCTGTATTTAATGGCAGCTTTAATAATGAGTTTTCATTAACCAAATTTGTTGGCATATTTTTGAAGACATTTTGACGCCTTTTGCATATGGCAAAAAGGTAGGAAAAAAAACCAGTTAAGTTGTCTTGCCAGCTGATTTATGGCCAGCAATTAAATGCAGCTAACCAAATTGAATTTCAGTTTTTTCTTCTCTTTGGTAGTTGAGTGTAAAATTTATTTTTACACCGCCAACAGATGCCTCATTGTCTGCCAGAAAACTGAGATTTTTCTCACACTGTAGCTGGCCAAAAGGGTTGCCAAGTTTTGTGTTTTTTTTGCATTTGTTTTCTTTGATTATTATTTTTGGTTTTTCGTTTTCTATTTTTCTTCTTTCGGCTGTTATTTATAGCCGGAAAATGCAGGGCAATGTTTGGGGTTGCTCCACCTTTTGTCCACATTTTAAGGCAGCTATTTTAAAGATTTTGGAAAAACTCATTAAGAGATTTGTGGTATTTGCTATGAAACAGATTTTATTCCCGAAAACAAAACAGATTTATGATTTATGTTGGCGTTGACTTATTGGCCATAACTCTGGGGAGTATGTTGGTGCTAATGGAGATTACAAGAGTTCGGTTTAAGGAATATACATATAGAGTATGATCTTGGCTAGAACCAGTTACAAACTCTTGGCCAAGAAACCTGTTTTCTGGAAATATATGTACTCTACAAATGTCCAAAGCATTTTCATAATTAATTATCATTTTTTGTTCTCTCTCTCTTTCCCTCTCTTGACCTGAAATTAAGTTAAGACCACGTGCCAGCATCTATCATACGAGCTGTCAGCGCTACTTAGTCGCACTATCTGAGTCATGGCTGTATATATATCTATATATCTATATCTATATCTTTTGTCTTTTCTTGCTGCATTAAACTTTCCTGCTGCAGCTGCCTTTCTCTGCTTTTTTAAGAGGTTAAAATCATTTGACATCTTGTGCCTTGCAATTACACTTAACATAGCTTTCATAGTCCAGCGACTGCAGCAGCGACTTGCAGTTTAATTCAATTAATCCCACCGAGTGACACTAATCGAATCGATTAAACACATTTTAAATTCCCAACTGACATAAGCTTTGGGGTCGCGAAAGGTAAACGATGGCTGCTAACGATTTAAATATTGTGATTAGAAGGGGATATTAACATATAAATCTGAAGATTATTGCAACTTAATTGGGAAAATATAAATTGAAAATATTCTAAGGTGATGAACAAAATGTATTGAAATGTAAAAAATATGTTTAAAATTCCTAAATATTTATATATATATGTATGGCCCATGTAGAGTTTGCTTTTTGGACTATCGATAATTCTGACTTTGACATTTCGAAGTTCAGATATTTAGTAGAAAGTTAAATGGTTATTTGTAAGCTCGAAGAAAATTGGAAAATATTGATAGTTTTATAGCCTTATTAAAACGCAAATCTTTCGTTGGCCATAATATTTATATTTATCATAAATTTGTTTAATACATAGATTAAAAATACAAAAATATTTGAAAATAAAACTTAGGAATTTCCAGGATTTCATTTCATTTTTATGTTTTTTACACATTTAAATCAGCTTAAACCCCAAAACAGATGTTTAAAAAACTATTTTAGAAATCCCTTTAAAATATTTTTTCCTTCAGCATTATATTTTACCTCTTTTTGTTTTATTTTTCCACAAATTTATTCAATTTCTAGGCCCAAAAAATATATATTTCTGATATAAGCAACTCCTTTTTTGCTGATCTTTTTAATTACTAGCATAAAATCCAGCTCTGTTATATTAAAAAATGTTTTACAAATATTTTCGAAAAATATCTTTTGTATGTAAACAAATTTTTATGTTAATTTATACAAATTTATCTAAACTAAAGCCCTAAAAATAAAAAACACATTCAGTGACATGTTTTCAAAATTCCAAAGAAATTTATTTTCCCAAAGACAAATATTTTTCCTCTGCCCGCATAATTTTTCCACACATTTAAACAATCTTTGGCTCACCGAAAAATATTTATTTGAGATTTATGCAACTCTCCTTTTGGCTGCATTTATTTATAGCCCGAATTCCCGCTCTTTAATCTCAAAGATCTACTCCTCTCGCCCCTCCTGCAATGTTTTAATTAATTCCGCGCCATTCCCAACCCACATGCAAGTATATAATATATATATATAAAGACATATATATATATATTTAGAGAGAGACAGCGACTTACCGATCGATTCCATTCCATTTGCCCGCCTGCATTGTTAATTTAATGCTCTCGGGCAATTGGACTCAAGTTGCCATGTGGCAGCAAGCACGCCCGTTTTAGAACTGATTTAATTGCAATTGTGCGGCAGTCATGCAATTGTTATCAAAACACACATACACCCGAACACCCTGGGGTGTTAGTTCCACGAAATGCGGGCTAATCCACACACCGAACTTTAATTAACAAGTGTAATTGATAGGGAAAAGTCTTTAGATGGAACTTAAAGGCCAGTGCTCCCTTTTTATTAATCACAAACTAATGGTTGTCCCAAAAGAGCCAGACAGATGTCAATAAAAACCACAGACGCCGACGTCGTCTTGCCACACACAAATGACACACATTTTCCGACATGGAAAATGGGAAAATGAATGCGTGACAAGTGAAAATGTTGCGTTTTCTTGGTGGCAGTGGCGATGGCGGCACTTCATCTGAATGTTTATTTTTAATAACACCAATAACAACAGAGACAGTTTAAGTTTTCTTTTGCTCAGTTTTCTTCTTCTTTTTTTTTTTTGTAAAGTCACGGCAATTTAATGCCGCCTCTGAGCGGGAAGACTGGAAAAAAAGGCAAAATAATAAGAGAGAGGGACTAATTTTTAAGCGGCTGACATTTATTTTGCATGACATTTCACACACCAAGGCACACCGCACAGGCATATGGGAACTTGGAGACTTGGGCACTTTGGGTGTTGCACCTCGTTATCCAGGGGAAGTGTCGCCAAAAGAGAATGATTTTGGTTCGGTTGATACCCTTTAAAAGGGGTATGTAGAGTTGGAAGAGGAGTTAGAAGAGGGGATTGTTATGTTAATAGAAAATGATTTTAATTCGGTTGATAGGGGGGTATGTAGAGATGGTAGAGAAGTTAGAAGAAGGGATTGGTATTAATTTAGAAACTTCTTAAGTTTAAAATAAATAAAAAGATAAATAACTTTTATTTTTAAATACTGCTTATAAGTAGATGTAAAAAAATATTTTTTAAAAATTTTAACATATTTTTATATCAAGATTTATATTTCTAAAATATTTCCATTTAAAAAATGATAAATTAAAACTCTTTAAAATGTTTATTAAGTTATAAAAAAATATTTAAAAAATACATTTTGCCAGTCCACCTTCCCTTCTTCGATTTTCAAACAAAAATCTGCCAATACAGGGTATTTGTAGGGTCTACTGCCGCAGCTAATATTTTCTTATTGTTTGTTTCTTTTCCCCTTTGTCTGCTACTTTTCGTTGATGCTTTTATTTTGGTACCCGAATATTAAGCAATTTAGTCAAACACAATGTTTGTTCTTATTCGGCGCACTCTCTTTCCCTTTCTTCCCCTCTCTATATACATTTTATACTCTCCCAATTTTCTCAGTGTCTTTGAACGATTTTCGAGTCTGTCGCGCATGTTTCCCAGTGAGAGGGTTGTACATTTGTTGCCTGTTGGATGCCCCACGGCGGGAGCGGCAGCCAAATTTCCGCTGCTCTATTCGAAATCAGTTCGGAAATTGCCGGCGGTCAGCACATTTACTTTGAACCAGCCGCGGCGTGAAAAGTTCTTATTGAAAAAAAAGAAATAGAAAAGAAAAACGTTTTTATTTGAACTTTTCCAAAGGTTTTTTATTCTAGAATAAAACCTAAAAAGTGTGTGTCTGTGTTGTGTTAATAAAGAAATTTTGTAAATAATAAAATATATATAGTACGGGTAGATTTGCCAATATATTTCTGAAAAGACTGGGAACTTTGCTGATCCAATCGGAGTATTTTTAGAATGTTTTGTGAGCAAGTCTGTGGGAAATGTGGACAATGTACTCGTCATAAACAAATGTGCAGGGAAAATAATTAAGAAAAAAAAGTGAAAAACATATAAAAATAAAAGGAAATTAATAAAGCTAATATAAACAAAGGTGCAGAAAGGTTAAAAAAGTAAAAAACTAAAGAAAGTGAAAGAAATATAAAAGAAATATCCCATGCTTGGCCCAACTGTGATTATGAGTTTCCTTTTAGCTCATTAAAAAAAATAAATAAATTCCCCTCTTAACTGATTAAATTGAAAACAGGGAACACTCTCTAGAAGTCTATTTCCATAAAACTGGCGCCTCTTTGTCTTTATTTTCCTCTCAGAGCCATCAACTAATTAAACATCTTTCTAGCTCTGCTATCCCCTTGCTTTCCCCCTTTCTTCTTCATCTCCATCATTAATCACGTTTAATTTTCCTCAATATGCAATTCTATGCCATAAACAGGAAAATAATTGCAACAATAAAATAAATATAAACAACAGCAGAAGCAGCAAGCCGACAGACCGTTGTAATCTTCATATCCGGCTTGTCGCCGTCTCTGAGCTCTGCAGATGGAGCCCAGTTTTCCCCCACCAACTCTCTTTTTCCTAGTTTCCCCCTCAGGGATCACTTTTTGCATCATGGAGGCTTTTTAAAAAACAAAGAGAGAGCTGCGTGTGCCAGGCAAATAATTGGGGAGTAACAAAGGGGGTTGGTTCTGTGTATGAAGGAAGTATGGGCTGTGAAGGGGAGTCTGCCCCTGGAACTGAGTGCTTCCTTTTTTGACATTTTAATTGCAATGCTGATGGATTTCACTGTTGACACTTGCCTTTTGGCACCATTAATTGTTAATGAACTTCACAGTAACAATATTTCAAGTTTTGTGGGTTTAAACTGGTTGTCTGTTGACTGGTTTTTGTGAAGGAAAAACTTACTAACTTCATAATCAAATCCTTAAGACACCTTTTCCCAAAAAAGAGCTTAAGAAGGTATTTTCCTAGCCGCCTATCTTCCACATTCTTTCTTCAAGAACTTATAATTATTTTCTTAAAACCCACCTTTTAACATTTCCCACTGATTTCCTTTGTTTTTGACCCCAGAAAATTGTCTGTGAAAAGCCAAGCCCAGAAAAAGTTAAATATCTTAACTAGGCCGTCTTCCGTTCAACACCTCATTAGGCCCACTTTTCGAGTTGAGTCCAAAAACGACTTTTAATTGTGCCCACTGGACACAGTCCCAGTTTCTTGTGTTTTGTGTGGCAGGAAGCACGATATGTCCAGAGGGTGAACATGATGATAAATGCCTTGGCCTGTCTAATGTGCTCTTGCCGCCAAAATATTTAAGTCAGAGTGCAGCAATTAAGTGTCCGACCAACTGAAATTGTCATTATAACGTTTGTCAAGGCAAAAACACAAAAAAGTCAACTTAAAACCAGCAACAAGTTGCGGACTAATTAAATAATTGAAACATTTTACGTGGGAGTCCGGCAAAGACAATGATTAAGAACTAAATTTGTGAAAAAGGAAAATAACAAGAAAAATCTGAAAAACAAACAAATAAAAGAGAGGAAAAATGTCGCAATATGATTATACCTGCTATACGGTCCCCGAGGGCTCCTCAGATGACGATGAAGAGGAGGAGGTGGGCAGTAATGTTACCCTGGAAAACAAAGGCCATTCGGATTGCACCCTGGAATCGGATGCCACGACCACAACTTCTTCCCTGGAACGTCACATCTATAGGAATCAGCATCGTTGCAGCAGGAGTTTTGGTCCTCAGAGGGTCTCTATGCCTCTGCTGAGATCTAGTAGATCCAGGGAGGTTACCCCTCAGTTGGGAATGTATCATGAGGGACCAGATCGAGATCCCCAATGGGGTTACTTTGTGCCTCTGTCGCCCAATTGCTTCTTTAGTCCACCCATGCAGAGGAGGCGTTATAGGTGGGCAAATTTAAAGATTAAATAGGTTAAGGATTTATATTTTTAATATTTATTTATATATAATATTTAACAAAATTTAAAATCTAATAACCCATAAATTTCCTTCTCCTTTCAGGGAAAAAGAAAACGATCGCAATCGTCGTGCTGTCAGCTATGGCGGCGACGTTACCTCCTCCCCACATTCGGCCACCATCCCGCGAGCTGCCCCTCGTCGTGTGGCCTTAATGAAGGATCCACCGCCACCGCCGCCACCCAAACCACACTTGACTTCTAAAGCTGATTCTATATCCCATTTGGCCAGCAAATATCCGCAGTCCGAGTATAATCTCATACAGAAAATCGACTCAAATAGCACGCTGACTGCTCCGGCGCAATATCAACCGCAGAATTTCTATGCCAATACGGGAACGATATCCTCTACCAATGGCTATGGATCACTATTGTGTCATGCCAGTTCCACGACCAGTCCTTTGGCGGTCAAGAAGAGGGATAAGCTGCTTCATAGATTCAGTGATGCTGCCACATTGGGCAGGAAGCTCAAAAAGAAGAAGAATACGAATCGCACTTGCAGATCCATGACGGAGGCCATTGAGATGCTGGCTGATCCTGTCATCGAGGATGAGTTTTTTGTGAGTACTAAGATTTATTAAAAATATATATTATATATTCTTTATAAAATAAGATAGATTTAAGGACCTGGTTCTTATCTTATGGCTAGCTAATCATAAGGTTATAGCCATTAGTCTCAAACCACAGACATCTTTATAGCCTTTAAAGTCTCATTAGAGAGAGATCACTTTTTCTTATTCATTTGAAAAAATTAGTCACTTATTTTCTTAATTAACTGCAGTTGCAGATGTTTTTGAACTTACTTCATTATTTTAAAAGCTTTCCTCTCGGTTTTCCTGCCCCTAAACATCGGCCCCTATTCCGCAATTTGCGCTTTTAGGGGGTGTATTTGTTTGGCTTAAGCCCTTCATTTCGGCTCATTTCACTCGGTCTATGCTCAGCTCAGGCCACACCACTCAGTCAGCCTTATCGCCATCGCTTTTGTTCTTGTTCTTGCGTTCCCCGCCAGCTGGAAAAGATAGCCATTGGAAAATGTGCTGGTCTATGATTCGATGAATAAATTTCAGTTTCAGTTTAGTTCGTATTTGAAGCTCGTCGCGATTTGAACAAACGAAAAAATCCCAAAAAAAATCAACGTTTTTCGTAGGCGGAAGTGTAAGAAAGACAAATCTTGAAAGAGATAAGGTGGAAAATATAGGAAGTGGGAAATAGAAAGAGTTATTAACTTCTTGAGGTTGAGTGTTGGAAATAATAGAAAGATGGAAAAATATGTGAAATCTTTTAAGGAAAAAGCTGGATTTTGTTTCATAAAATTGACTTATTTTCTAAGTAAATCAAAGTGTTTAAAGACTTCCTGTTTAACAATTTTATACCATTAAAAATTAATGTAAATAAGGAGCTTTAATCCCTTTTAAATTAACCTTGAAAAGTCATTTTCCAAGCTGAACTCAATTTGCAAGCCAGTCAATCAGTCAGCTGAAAAAAGGGGCGTCAATAATACTATCAAAAGTTCAATACTCTGTACATTCACTGACCTAATCGAGGTGGCTTTTCTGAATTTTCGCAATGTTTTTTGTTGTTTTTAGCTTGTAAATTGGTATTGGGGTCGAGCATGGCTAAGCCACAATTATTTGCCAAATCAGTCTAATTAAAGACCAAACCAACTCAGAGTTGACAGATTAGCGTTGGCTGCTTCCCTACCTTTTCTTATATGACAGTTCAGGAAGACGAATGTGTCTAACAAAACAAGTGACTTGAAAACTGTGTCAATACTTTGGGTTCGAAAAACAATTTACCTTGCCCAGGGAGAAGGCGGCTCGAAAGGTGAACCCCGGCTAATTGGATTGTCAGTGCGTGTCTTCCAGCAAACAACAGAGAAACAGAAAAAGTTGTTGCAATAAAATCAAACAATTGCAGTGGAAAATCGAACGTGCAGTGCGCCGAACGTGTTGGTCGCGTAATAAACATCAAAAAAACGACAATTTTTAATATTTTCTGTGAGATTTTGGGTATTAACTTAATTTTGTGGCATCCGTTAGGCTTTATAAAAACAAATATGTTGCCTACTTTTATGCATTCCAAAGAAATAAAACTACAACTAACATAGCATACTTATGTGCGGATGTAAAATACATAATACCTAAAACAATAAGCAAAATGAGTTTAACAAATATGTCGATTTGAATAATTATTTGGTTAACTAATATATTACAATTTTAATACAAATTAATAAGAACATAAAGTGTTTTAAAAAAATAGTACCAATATTGTCCTCAATTAAAGAGTCATTAGTCTACAAGCCATGTAGATGTTATGTAAAATCACTCAAGTGTATTTATAAACTCTTTTTGCTTAAGTTTTATGGGTGTTCCTTGTGTTTTCAATGCCACAATTAAGTCCTTTTCTTAAAAAAAATAAAACTAGTTTTCTGGTAACAAAATAAAAAAATAAAAAGTTACTTTCGTGTCGACCGTGACAGGACTCGAACCTGCAATCTTCGGATCCGAAGTCCGACGCCTTATCCATTAGGCCACACGGTCGCTTGTTTCAAGCGCGCTTAAACTGGAAAACATTTGATACGTGCGCACGCAAACGGGATAGGGGTGGATTTTTTTTTTATTACCACACTAGCATAAAGGTTATCGAGGGGTGAAAATACAAGCGAAAAAAGAAAAACAAAAAACAAAAACAACGAAATTATGAAGCCCAGCACTCGACGTCGCAGTTTCAAAACAAAACCGCCCAAATCCAATGTGTATAACCCGCTAGTTCGTTATCGCCCGACGGCCTATGTCCGAAATGGTATTATTGGAGGCGGCGAAGGTCCCGGTTCGAGTGGCCTTTACCAAATCAACGATAGGGTATATACCACCAGCAAGATGTTCCTACGCGATGGCTATATGTACCCTCGTCAACCCGGTCAAACCATGGATCCCCGCTATCCCCTTGAATTGCATGAATTCCCTCAGCAATTCGGTGCCACGGGTCTACAGTTGGTCACTACACCCAAAGTGCATATAGCTGGAGAATATTTGGCCAATGAACAGCAGCAGCAGCAGCAACAACAACACCAGCAGCATAAGCAGGTGCAAGAGCAACAACAATTGGGCAGGCGAAAGGCTGCTGCTGCGGCTGAAATAAATTTGGCAAATCAGGTTTATTGGCTGGGCAAGCAAAAATCCAGATCCCGATCCCGCAGCAATAGTGTGGGCAATCGGAGTATCACCAGCTGCATAGGAGGTGGCAGTGGAGGGGGCGGCGAAAGGGAAAAGGATCGCGAACGAGATCGTCCGTATATACGTAATGTGGATGATCTTCTGCAGGCTCTGGGTAAAAGGGATGGGGATAACAACTCCAACCTGCTCGATAATGCATCTACAAATTCGTCGAATCAAAGAAGGCGCTTCAAGAAGGTGAGAAAAAGATTTAATATCTTACAAGTGTGTTTTAAATATGAAACCATTAACTTATATAAGTTTATAAAATTTACAATCCTGTTTATCGGTTGAGTAAAAAAAAACTTTTTACGACCGTGACAGGACTCGAACCTGCAATCTTCGGATCCGAAGTCCGACGCCTTATCCATTAGGCCACACGGTCAGTTGAGAACTCCGAAAAAAAGGCCTCATATAAACAGAAGCTTTACAATTTTTCAACCCCATTTCCATTAATCATGAATTAGCACATTTAATTTTTTCCCTTTATTATATTATTAAAAAATATTTCAAATAGAAACAATTTCAAATACGCATTCCTAAGGAAATGCCCCAACTTAAAAGTTTCAAAATTCTCCACACCACTGAATACCACGTCAGCAATCAATCACCACATTGCATTGCTCTTAAGCAACATCGAAATTTGTCAACTGGCGTTGCAACACTTTCAATTGTCGTCGTTGTGGCACCTTTTTTTCTTTTGATTTGTCCACCTTAATTACATTCGTGGAGGTGATGTGGTATGGAGGTGATGGCGGTGCTCGTTCCGCCAGGTCATCATCAGTCATCACTCGTCGTGGCTTATATATGCAGAATGTCCAGAATGGAGGCAGTGAAGCCTACCGCCCCTGGGGTGCGTCTGCGCAAAAATTAAAATTAATGATGTTCAAAAATTTCGCTTGGGGGCCGCCTTTAATGGAAAATGGGATGAAGAAATAAACGAGGTGAGCGAGTGGCCAAGGAGAAGGAGGAGCAAAAGGTGGAGCTGTTGGTCAGACGGTAGCTGCTAATTTGGCATCCTCAAACACACCTGCCCCAAAAAGATATTCACTTGGGCCTTTCAATTTCTCGCAAAAGCTTCAAAGTCAAAGCTTGGCTCTGCGGTTCCTTTTACCTTATTCAGGGCCTCTTCTCTCCCCCTTTCAGGCCATTTTATGCATTTTTAACCCGCTGCTGCTCAGGCTTCCATGACGGTCTTAGTCTTTTTCTCGGTTTGATTTTATTCTTTTGTTGTTTTTTATTTCTGGTTCGTCATTAGTGGATATATATGTAGATATATATATATATATATATAGGTTTTTTGGTTTAAATCTTCTTTCGCTTGGGGCACAATTTATGCGCTTCTGTTTCGGATCCAGATTCGGACTCTGAGGGGCACTTGAGTTTGAGAAATTGGTTTCGTTGATTGTGCTTTTTTGGACACGGTCATGACAGTGGGTTTAATGTGTTAAAAACAATTTTGATTTATAACTTATTAGTAAAAGAGATTACTGTTTTTATTAATAAACTATAACTATAAAATGGAAATGATGATGAAAGTCTTGAATAAGCCATCGCTAACCTAGTTTTTGTCTTTGTTTTTAGAGCTCTCTTAGAGCTTTCTTACCAACTTCCCTTAGTAATAATACCAATTTTAGAATATTTAATTATTTTAAGGTTCATCTTTTTCAAATTCGATTTTTAACAACTTTAGGTTTATATAATATTTACAGCTTTTTGCCCCACAAGCCTTTCCCAGACCTAAATATATGATAATTCTATAAAATTAGGAGACTTATTTTCCAAATTCAATTTGTTAACAATATCCACTTAACCCAAGAACCCACTGTACTTCATCTCCCACCATGACTCAACTTCCGGCGTGTGCATAAATCCATTTAGAACCCGAATGAAACGAAATAAATTGCAAGTGGAAACCCGAAACGAAATGAGCATAAATTTATCTCTTTAAATTCTAGCTTCTCAGTTGGGTTCCAAAGGGTTAAGGAATTTAAGCCAACAATGCTTGCGAATAAGTTCATTTTGTTGTTGTTGCTGTTGGTGGTGGGGGAAATTGTATGCAGTGTGACTTGAAAATGCAATGAAAACAAAAAGTAAAAACCATTGCAAATGCAACTCAAGTCTGGCTGGGGACTTCCCCTTTGGCTGCAGTTGCTCGTAAATCGAATAAAGCACACGACTTGGTCACCCTTTCCCCATACATTTGTGGTATCTTTCGATGGTTTCACTAAGGGGAAGCAAAGAAAGTTGGGCCAGTAAGTTAGTTGTGAAAAAAAAAAAACATTTTACAGATTTTCTTTTGCTGCCAGTTTGGTTTTTTCTTTGTTTTAATTTCGTATCGTCAA